CTTAACTCCAGCTACATGCTTGCTGGGATCCCCGCTCAATGGCATAACATCAACATTTGCAAGTAAACTTATAGCCCTAGCATGCCTTTCAACTAAACGCCTCGTTCTTATGAACTGGAAAGTCAGAAAGCCCAACTGCTTCAATTTCAATAGATGGCTGGAGGACTTCCTAAACATCTGAAGTATGGGAGAAGCTGCTTTCTCCCTGTTATATTTGGTTAAGCCAGACAACAGGCTTTGGGATAAGATAAGGGCTTTCCTGAACTCAAACCATCTCGGCTGCCAACAATAAATATAATAATATTAATTCATAATATTAATAAATAAAGAGAAATAAGCTATGAAGAAACAGTAACGGTAATAATAATGAAAGAAGCTAAATTAAATGGGAAATGGATGAATAGGTGAATTAATCATAAAAGGAAGAGGTGTGTGTATATGTACATATGTGTGCATATATATATATATATGTATTTATTTATTTGACTATCTATTTATTTACCTATTAAACAATGAAGTATACCTATATTATGAAGCAAATCATGTATAAATACGTCATATGCATACATCAAATGTAACTGACACTGTAATCCCCCTACCCCCCACCCTTCATGTTATGTCCTGTCCTACTTGTAATGTGTGTGAGCCATGTCCTTGTGCTTTTGTCTTTTGAAAATGTTTAATAAAATATAAATGTTAAAAAAAAAGATTGTGGAGTATCTCCAAAGTAAAATTCATGTTGAGCGTGTCATAGGAGGTGTAAGGCAGCGATATACCATTTTGGGAGGACCAATTCCTATAGATGTTTTACTTTCTAAAGATGTAGATTACATTGATGGATAAAATAGCTGAAGTGTGCTGTGACCTTAATCATTTGTGTGATACTGTAATACCCGTTGATTAAACCTTTACATTCTGTTACACCCCAATCAATATCAGATTTAAAAATGACATGTTTGTATTATAATTATTATTGCATTATTGTCAATGTTGGACTTGGTAAATTAAATGTCTTGATAATCAGAGCAGTGATTTGGGGTTTGGTTGTGTTATAAATTATTTAAGCTATTTTCAGGCATGGAAGATTAATATGTTTTTCTCTCAAGTTTTCTATTGTCAGATTGGACACATCCCAAATCGCTTGATGCTTTCAGACCTGCACTGCACACTGTAATAGTACTGGTAGAATATTTAAGCTTGGGTAAATTCATTTTTGAAAAAAACAATTGAAAGGGCAAAGTATAATATTTATTACAGGTTTCCAAGTTACCCATTGAAAAAGGGGTGAACAACAAGTACATGCTCCTTGAACTGTACGCTGCAGAGATCACCTCACATAACAGAGACAGATTCACATTATGTCCATATTACAGTTTTTTTCAATGCTCAAACACTTTTTTTGAAAGCAGGGCTTATTTTCTCAAAACACTAAACACATTTCACAAAACCATACACACAAAGTGCAAAACACCCAAAACTACATGAACACTTACCAAAACCAAACCTTTGCACCAAATGGCACACACTTCATTCATAGCACAAGACATTTTGTAAAACCAACTACACACCATCGTGCTCAAGCACACTCATCTTTTATGGCGTTTGATATGGAGAATTCAGCAAGTAAAGATTGTTCAAGTCTACAAAACAATATGTGCAGAAACTTTTCAAAAGGTGGAAAGTAGAATTGCAAATTGGGTGCAGAGCTGAACATGTGTTAAGAGTTTTGGAGATTTGAGCTGAGGTTTTGCTCTTTGAGTTTAAATAATGATGCTTTTTGTGTCATTTTAGTGTGCACAACTTTTTTTGATTGTTACACTTACATGTTCTTTATATAGATTTGATGTAAAAGAAACATGTTGAATCAAATAAATAAACACACTGTCATTCAGATCGATTAGTAGCCTACTTCTGTTTCTTTTGAGAGGGGGCATACTGATGACATTTGTCACAATACCAGCTTCCTTTGGGGGCAACTGTTATACCAACACGTTCAAAATGAAACCAGGTAGTTTCACAATTTGTGTTATCACATCCTATCATGGGAAGCTTTTCCTCTCCACGACAAAGGCACCATTTGGGTATCAGTGGTTGGGTATTGGTTGGCTGAGTCAGAGTGGAACATAGAGCGGGGTCTGGTATCAGGCACAGAGGCCTTTTTGGTGCACTAATGGAGACTGGTGTAGTTGCACTGGAAATTCTGGTGAAGAATTGCCCACTCAACTCGAGGAGAATGACCTTCTGAAAAGATTCATGAGCTTTGGGGTATACCTTCTCCCAAAAGTCAATATCTGGGGTTATGCGTTCAAGATGAATCTTTCCATTCACCCACAGAACAAAGTCAGCATAAAAAATAGGCATGGGTCTTCTTCAGCCTGTCCTGTCCATCACGTGATTCCAGGCATGTATGGTCTGACGGTGCAGCAACACAGTAGGGGCATTTCATTTCCAAAACACCTACACCACAGCACTTGCAGGACACAACACCATCTGGAGTAGCACCTAAATATGGAAATGTTGGCGATAACACGAGCCCAGAGTCCTGGCAAATGAAACCGCCATGTCGATTCATAATTGCAATGTAATCTTCACGTGCTGATTTCTCGCTGTGCTGTGTTTTTGTGGCCTTCTCAATGACATCCGCCTCCGGCTTGGTGATAGCTGCATTGATCCCTTGGCATTTCTAGCAGTGAACGGCACTCGCTGGGAGTACTTCGGCCAGGGGCCGGGGGGGTGGTGCCACAGCTGGAACTCCGGGGACAGGACGGGCCTCCCTTCTTTGTCAGCCACAAACAGAGCAAATATGCACGAACGTTAAAAGACAACACATTGGCATTCATCTACTGTTATACTACATTATAAGGGACTGTCTTGTTAAGAGTAATAGCAGAGTTTATCTTACCTTTTCAAAAGCCGGTCAGAGTGGCCCGGGTCGTTCTCTGGCCGCATAGCGTGCAGGTCCGGTTACGCCTCGTAGGGAACACACCGGCTGCAGCAGAGGGCCAATCTTGATCTTCAGCCTCCACCCTGTGGTCTTTCGGGACGTTGACCTTCAACGCCACTGGTCCAGGGTCACTCCTGACAACACACACACACACACACACAACACACACATCAATCTGCAACACACACACAACACACAACACCACACACACAACACACACCGATCCACAACAACACACATTACCACACAACACACACACACACAACACACACACACACACACACACACACACACACATCACAACCACACACACATCACACACACACACACATCACACACACACACACAACACACACACACACACCATTAGGAGCAACTAGGAAGAAAATGGTTTGAAGTTAACAGTACATTATCACCACCTTCATACACTGAAAGTGAGATGTTTTCCTCAGAGAAATTAGGGACATCTTGTTTTGATCGTAAACAAATAAATAAAAGAAACATAATAACCGTGTTTACTTTTTGCAAGCACTGGGGGCCAGAAAGGTTTGCAGTACTTGAACCTCTTGGGAATCCTGTAGGAGGCAGGGGAGGCCTTCCAGAGTGCGATTGCCCTCTCCAAGCCGGTTGTTTTTGTCATATCTGCAAGAGGACAACAATCAAACAGTAGTAAAACAGTGGATGTTACGTTCCCTCCAAATCTAGGGGTACGAAGAGGAGTAACAAAACACAAACGACCAGGCACGAGAAAAGAGAGAGGAAACTGATCTCTGAAGCCACAAAATGAGGTTTAATCAACCAATGATAGACAAACAGAAAACGGGCTCACCAGCCAACTTGCAAAGTAAATTATGGTACCAATATATGCTGGAACACATATCCTAGTAATTGATAAAACACAGGTCCCACACAGAGACGAAGACGCCGTGCTGCACCCATGCAGCCAGAGGAGAAGGAGAGAGGCCACTGCAGCCTTCCTCAGGTCCTTTAAGGAGGCCCTGATTGGGGATTGGGAGCACCTGGGGGAGAGGCTGCACCTGGAGACAATCAGGGAGAGAGAGAGACACACACAAAAGCACACACACACAAGCACCAACTGCGGCACGTAACAGTGGACAATAGTAAAACAGTGGAGTTATTGGAGCTGCACATATCAACATCACAGAGATACAGGAGGGTCAGAGGAGGACAGATCACTCACCCATAGCTGTAGCCAGACTAGACTGTGAGAAGAAGGAGAGTTCCTGCATTTCTGTACATCTTGCTCAAAGGTGTGAAATCTTTCATCCAATCAGATCAAAGACCTGTGGATCGCCCCGCCCTCCTGACCCCGAGATGAGCCATCAGGTGAACAAAGGAAATCCTGCCTCCTGCCAGGACACCCTAACCAACGACTCTTTCACACCCACAGTCTCTGGACTCTCAAGTACTGTGTTCTTTTGTATTTATGCATCCGCTCAGCAGGGGTCTTGAGAAGGTGATGGGCTGCAATCTGCCTCCCCTCCACGACCTGCAGTGACCTCTGCCACTTTATAGACTGCATTACAGGAATGCACACAATGTTCCTACTCCTTTCTGCACATATTGTGATTTCACATTTCTTAGTTTATATGCAAACATTCATAGCATTCTATTTCCATGTAAACGACTGCTTTATTTATCTTATTGCTATTTAACTGGATTTTATTAGGGTGTAAAAAAGATGTTGTGTTTGATATTAGATTTCTTGTTGATGTATGCACCATGACATCAAGTCAAATTCCTAGTATGTGTGAACCTACCTGGCAATAAACCTGTTTCTGATTCTTATGTTACTAATTACATATTTATGTATTATGTGTATTTTCAATGCAGTGTTTTTATCTGTATTGTTCAAACTATTTAAAATAAAGTTTTCTAAAAAAGCCAAAGGACATCTCCTTCATTTTTGAAACCTTCTGAACTTCAGTTGAAGTGCAACAACAGCAGAGGAAGACAGCACGAGTGTTGGAAACTACAGGAAGTCAATCCAAACAGATATTTGAACTCTTTATTTGAAAAAGATATTTACATCATCTACAGCATGTTATTGTGTCCAGTGTCATTGGAGGGAGTCCAGCCACTCCTCAGGGCTCTTCCATTGAGCCAGAACAGGGCAGTAGCTGACTCTGTCCCCGCTCGCCTTCACCAGGTTTCTGTGCCCGGTCTCCTTTATCTTTCTCAGACCACAGGAGGAGCACATGGCCTGAGACGGGGGTCTGAGTGGAAGAGGTGGAGCAGATGCTGTGCACAGCAGAAAAACACACTTGACATACCAAATAGATTTGATTATACAAAGCTTAATAATGACTCGAAGCACAGACTTACCTAAAGCAGCCTCCACGTGAGCCGCTGCCTCCACCATCAGATGGCCGTCTTCGTCCTCGGAGGAAGCTGCAGACACAATTTAAAAAATGTTCACTCATCACACATCACCTGACTGACAGTAACACTCCACTGACATGATACATACACAGGAGCACTGGCTTTCTCTTCCTCCACTGTATTGGGGGAGATGTAGTGGAGGGGGAGACAGCTGAGGAGGTGGCGGCTGCTGATGCAGCTGAGGAGGTGGCGGCTGCTGATGCAGCTGAGGAGGTGGTGGCTGCTGATGCAGCTGAGGAGGTGGCGGCTGCTGATGCAGCTGAGGAGGCGACAGGCTGCTTCTCCTTGTCCCTTCTGTGTATGTAGTCCTTCAACTGCCCCAGTTGGGACCCGGGCCTCCTGACGGGCTGCCTCCTGAGCCACTTCCTGTACCTGACATTGAGATTGAGAGGCAACAGTTAGATTGATATCACATCAAGTGTTTCTACAGCTAGTGATGAAAGTCACACATGGCCTTACATGCTTGGCTCCCTCTCCGCAGTGTCGTACAGGTCCCTGTACGTCATGGCTGACCAGGTCCCAAAGCCCACCAGCTGCTCGTGCTCTGCAGGCGTGCGCGGTGCTCTCTTCCTGCTCACGGCTGCCATCACTAGGGCGAAGAGGCTGGCGTACTCCAGCAGAGCATCTTTGTTCCACATGAGGGGGGTGCTGCTGACATCCCCCCCCTCACGCTCTCCCTGATGGACTGCCAGAATGGTTGCCGTGTAGCCAACGTCATTTGACAGCAACCACTGGAGAGTCTGGCCCCGGTACTGACCAAACTGGAGCTCGGTCTGGCTGAGGAGCTGCCGGCGGTCCACCGGGTTGCCCCCCAGCGCTGTGACTCTTGACACAGCTAGTGCCTCAGCCACCTCCCTGGTGTCGGAGGTGAGGCTCCAGGCTGCCCTCTTCAGATTGTCTTTGGAGATTTTGCCAGCTTCTGTGCTGGCCATCAGCTGCAGGTCTGATGTACCAGCCTGGAACGCGAAGGACGGTTTGTGATCCATTGTTCTGAAATCACATCAAACACACGTCAGAAGCTAGAAGGCAAGTACTTCACAAGTACATGTGAAGTACAGCAAACACCTTGAACCTTTAACCTAGTTAGCATACAAACAAAGCCTCTCTTTGGATGAGATGGACCTTTGAATTCAGGTGTTAATGCAGCAGGAGAGAAACACAGATAGTACACAGGAAGAACAGTCTGAATATAAATAAGAAAAATAACATGAGTAAAAGCTGGTTCTGATTGAAAAGAGAATGCTATCTTAGTGCTATCATGTAATAATGCTAGACAACACTTTTCCATCAGCTCAACAGTAACCTCAGAGGTCTGACTTTAAATGAATGATGGCCTTCATATAAATGTTAACTTTAGTTATTACAGTACTTCATTAAATAGCTAAGTGTCTATGACTGTTAACCCTCCGTCCACATCTGTGAACGGATGTAAGCATTAACTTCATGAACATATACGTTAGTGCAAAGTAAAAAGCGTTACGTGTTTGCATCTAGCAAAGTGCAGGAGCAATGCATGTTGTTGCCGCAGTTCTAAGACTGTACCTGGCGGAGTGGCAGCTTTTAATCACGAATGGTGCATATAAATGTTAACTTCATAAACGTTAGCACATAGTAATAAGCATCAAATGACAAGTATTTACGGATTTCAACGGCCAGAAAGCTCCGGTGTGTTGCCGACGTAAAGCCTCGGTTTAGCGGAAACTTTTACCAATGCGAATATGCGCGAACGTTAAAAGACAACACATTGGCATTGATCTACTGTAATAGCAGAGGACAACAAATACATTCCCATTCATCTGTTACTGTTATATTACATTATAACGGACTGTCTCGCGGAGGGTATCTTACCTTTTCAAAAACCGCTCAGTTGTGAATGATGCCTGGAAACTTTGAGTGAAAACTCCTCCCCGCTCCTCCCCGTTTCAATGAAACGACAGTGGGACAACCAATGGGTGGACACAAGATTAAAGTGAGCCTGACGCATCCTCCACACAATGATCCCCAGTGGATCTTCTGGGTTGAGAAGGTCTCAGTTGGGGGGCCGGAGCCTGTCATCCAATCAGATCAGAGCCCCTTAGATCAATTAAAGCCAGTGTACCAACCACCCAGATCCCCCCACCCCAAATACTCTTTGACACCCCCTGCTTATGGAATGCCATTTAAGCCAAAATTAAATAAATAAATACATAAATAATTAAATAAATACATATATATATAAATATGCCAATGAAATACATTCTGAAATAAATAAATGAGGCAATACATATGTATACATGTACATTTAAATAGATACACATTTATTTATTTCATGGGACTTTTATTTCATAATGACACATTTATTTATTTATTTCAGGGGACTTGTATTTCATAATGACACATTTATTTATTTCAGGGGACTTGTATTTCATAATGACACATTTCCATTTCTTATATGCAAATGAACGGGGCGTGGTTAGCTCACAGATCCAGACCAAAGCAACAGCACCGCAACACTGACTCAATAGCTCTTGTTTCACACTCAGCCTGATTTAGCTCTGGTTCTTCCTGTTTCAGCCACAGCGGAGCCGGTGTTACCGAATAAAATGTGGGACGAACAACTGGTGATATTCTATAATGGTAGGCAGATGTATCAGGGGCGTGGCCTTTGTCGAATAACCAGGAAATACACATTTCGATCGCTTCTTCTGTCATTTACATTCATCTTTTGGTATATTTGGTTGGATAGGAACACTTTGATGCACATTCAGTACCAGTGTGTGAGGTTGTGGTTGCGATGCCGATATCCGGACGCGTACAGCGAGGACTACAAAAAGACACATGAGGTGACTAGTGTTACCTTTTATACTGACGGTATCTCGGCACCGAAACCGTAGTTTCGGATACACACCGGTGGTTTCTGACTTGGCTCGTTGTCAGCCGGTAACCAGCTGTCCAGATATTTCGAGGGGAAAAAGGATGAAGACGATGCGTTCGGGTGCCGTGGGAAGAACCTCCGTTTATTCACGTTCTTCAATTACATTGACACTGTATTGAATACATACAAACTAGACACTATTCCTTTTCTGACCACTTTCTCTATACTTTCGTCTCTCTCTTCATACCTCCGCACTTCGCCTTGGCCATCACATTTTACACACACCAGACTTCCAAAAACCCACAACCCCTTGCGGCTGCTACTCTTAAAGTGACAGGCCAAGCCTGTAACACTAGGGATGTGTGTTCAAAACATTGCACGCTTGAATAAATCATTTAAACCATTTATTTTTGCCAGACTTATTACTGAATATCGTTCTTAATGTGATACCAAGTCCATCTGAGACCTGTGTACACCTTCAGACAGCCTCCAAGTGAAGCACACGTTGTTTACTCACAGTTTGAAAGCAGCGTGGAGAAGTCAGCTGTGGAGCTGTGATCCGCCCAGGATAACTTGTGATACGTCTTCTGTGGCTTGTTCTTGTTGTCAGTCTTATATTTGTATCATATATCGTTATTAATATGATGTCGAGTTGATTTGAGACCCGTTTATACGTTAGCTACCTAGCTAGTAGCTAGCACGTTAGTTAGCATTACAGCCATGTCATTTTTATTAGCCTTAACATGAAGTAACATTAAGTAACCCAAAATGTTAAACAGTAAGAGTAGTAGTCATATTTCGTGAACCCTTTGAAGAGTACTGTCACCGGTGTGATCATTCTATAATACACACTTTAAGACCGGGGGAGAAATGCTAACGCTAACGCTAGCATCGGCGATCTTTTGCATATATCGTTATTAATATGATGTCGTGTTGATTTGAGACCCGTTTATACGTTAGCTACCTAGCTAGTAGCTAGGTAGCTGTCACAGACTGTTAGTGAAACATACAGTCTGTCTGAGTTGTTTACACCCATCTCCAACGCAGCGTAGAGAGCTGTGGTAAACTGTGATCTGCTCAGGTTAAACTGTGATACGACTTCTGTGGCTATCAACCAGCGATCATGTTTAATATTAAAGACTACACACATTGATCCCTTATCAAAACGGTATTCTGCACTTTGCCGCACTTATCCAGATAATATGTGACTGTTTACTTGGTTAACTTTTGTTATGAATCGAAACAGCGACATCGAATGACGAGGGTACTCACATAGGCTACGTTGAGAACTAGAAACACATATTCATACTTTTTCACACTGTTGTTAACATGTTTTCGTTTCTAACTTAACGTTTATGCGTTTATCTATGTGGTCTTTGTTCTCATGTGTTTTATCTATTTCTGTGTAACTTGGTAATATTAATATGAATTCCTTGTTATTGTTACATTTCCATGACAGGTGATGATTATAGCTACTACATAACGAAACACATGGCCTGATTTGCATATTTGAACTTAATGTGTGCACTAGAATACATAATACGTAAAATGACCACTTACATAATGTAGGCTGATGAACTAGGATATCTGATCTCGGTGGGTCTTAATGATAATCAGTCATATACTATTTCAAAGCAAATGTGTACTATAATATGTATATTATATGGCTTAAAGTGTACATACATTCGCTCACATTATAAAAGATGGTTAGGTTGAATTGTTCTGACTCTTTCAACAATGTTAATGTGACAAAATAAGCTGTGATGACAGATTACATCGTACTGATCCGTGGCACACTCATAACGCGCATGGCACGAGGGATTTTTGCTATTGGGACTCGGGTTTGAGTCCAGCATGAACTTCTTTGTTATTTTCATGTCGATGGACACTGAATAATATTTTTGAATAGAGGATTCATAATATTATTTGCCGAGAACAAAATTAACGATCAAGCAGCATTTTAAATTCTAAATATCCCTGCACATGTAGCAATGACATTTCTGCTTCTATTTGCAAAACGAGTAAACAGTCACATTTTATCTGGATAAGTGTAGCAAAGTGCAGAATACCGTTTTGATAAGGGATCAATGTGTGTAGTCTTTAATATTAAACATGATCGCTGGTTGATAGCCACAGAAGTCGTATCACAGTTTAACCTGAGCAGATCACAGTTTACCACAGCTCTCCACGCTGCGTTGGAGATGGGTGTAAACAACTCAGACAGACTGTATGTTTCACTAACAGACTGTATGAAAGTATAAACGGGTCTCAAATCAACTCGACATCATATTAATAACGATATATGATACAAATATAAGACTGACAACAAGAACAAGCCACAGAAGTCGTATCACAAGTTATCCTGGGCGGATCACAGCTCCACAGCTGACTTCTCCACGCTGCTTTCAAACTGTGAGTAAACAACGTGTGCTTCACTTGGAGGCTGTCTGAAGGTGTACACAGGTCTCAGATGGACTTGGTATCACATTAAGAACGATATTCAATAATAAGTCTGCCAAAAATAAATGGTTTAAATGATTTATTCAAGCGTGCAATGTTTTGAACACACATCCCTAGTCACCTCATGTGTCTTTTTGTAGTCCTCGCTGTACGCGTCCGGATATCGGCATCGCAACCACAACCTCACACACTGGTACTGAATGTGCATCAATTGATTGATTGATTGATTGAAACGTTTATTAACAGCTTGTATATTGGGTACAGTACAGCTCAAAACATACAATTGTTAAGGGGATGCAGACCAGAGAAAGACTTTCGTCTTGTTTACATCAGGGTCCCCCATTTCCAATTCATCATATCATTTAAGACATATAAGACATATTTGACATACAGATGGCTTATTTACAATTTTCATTTTAGATTTAGATTCAAAGTGTTCCTATCCAGCCAAATATACCAAAAGATTAATGTAAACGACAGAAGAAGCGATTGAAATGTGTATTTCCTGGTTATTCGACAAAGGCCACGCCCCTGATACATCTGCCTACCATTATAGAATATCACCAGTTGTTCGTCCCACATTTTATTCGGTAACACCGGCTCTAAACACCGAACACCGGTTCTTAGCTGATCCCACTTGGCTGCCCGTCAAGAACCAAGAACCACGCTCACGTCGGAAGGGGGCGAGATTAACCTGAGCCATAATAACAGTTTATGGCGAGTACGGAAAATGAAAGTTGTAACAAGCAGTAGCGCTGAGCAAAGTGACTAGAACGCAACCACACACTTATAAACAAACACACTTTATAAAGTCAGGCAACACTAACCAGGCTTCGTGTGATTCTGTTTATTTGTACCTTACTTTGACCATCCGTTCTCTGTCATTGATCATTGTGGAGAGCAGGCAGACGTTTTGTTTGTTATTATAGCAGCTATCGGATGGAATCCATACATGGGCTGCACAGGTTGTCATGTCCGACTATCACAAGTAGAATCATAATGAAAAGGTAAAATGTGCCTGTAGAAAACGGCTTATGCCACAATAGGATAGCAACAAGTAGTCAAGATAATCAGTTCAGCTTCGGTTGCTGTTGCATAACTGCGGTCAACTCAGCCGTCTCTGGCCTTCGCTTGGTCAAATCAGCAGCTATTCATTTTTGAGTGCGCAATTAATAGCGCCTTTGCGGTAATCGCTGTACAAGAGTAAAATAATGCATGTTTTTTTCTGCTTTATTTGCAATACAAGTCATTTGTACCATAAGTTCTTAATAAAACTGACACTGTTTGACTCAGTCCTAGTTTGACTGCTACAATAAAATGAAGTAGGCTACTTTTACTGTGTACTTTTTGGGTAATACTCTCTCAAAGTCCCTGAGAACAAAATCATGCCACTTCTGCTATATTTGATGAGATAAAATGATTTGTATCCATAAGTTCTTAATAAAATTGGTAGTGTTGGACTCAGTACTTGTTAGACTACTACCACAAATACAATGAAGTAGGCCTACTTTTATTGTGTACTTTTTGAGTAATACTCTGTCAAACTCCCTTCCCGAGTACAATAATGCATGTTTTTAGCTATCTTTGATGAGAGATAAAATTGTATTTTGCCAAAAGTTCTTAGTTAAATTGATACTGT